GAATGCTATTATTTCTAATTTTCAAAACATTGATGTAATTTTGAAGTTTTATAATTTGGTAATTTGTTGATGTGAATGCATGCAGTTTAGAGTTTTCTAAAGCTAGGTTTTATTTGCTTAATCAGCTTGGTTGAGCTTTTATTCATTAAACAAAATCTATCAGTAAAAACAAAATTTGCAGTTATCTGAGGACACGTATCACAATGCAGGTATTTGTGTTTCTGTTATTCTGTTCATTACTTAATCTGCATCTGAAGTTCACCACCTGCAACTTTGCTTTCCAAAAACATCCCAGGGCAGGGGTGTCAAACTGCTGGCCCACAGGCCGGATGCGTCATGGCAAAACCGCGCCCACCCCATTGCCGGCAATGGAAAAAAGTCACAATACGTCGTGACACGTCACGTAACGTTGCGAGTTTGACACCCCTGTCTTAGGGACAAAAATATTAAACTAGGGAACTGAATGGCAGCAAATGTTGCTTAATTATATATTTATTTGGTCATGAGTAAATTAACCATAAATAAAAACAATAATATTAATGCTTTCTGATCTATTTCTGCATGAAAGTCTTAAACACAGCAAATTGTCATAATACATTGAAATATAAGAAGAATGGCATATATTTGGGAAAGAAGGTTATGCTTTGTGTTAATGGTTGTTTAATCTGTGCTGTCTTACTTCATTTTTTGAAATTGTTTTTATTTAGTATTATATTTTGTAAGTCGCCCAGAACCAGTGGTGGGATTCAAATATGTGAACAACCGGTTCTCTGTGTGGATGCCACTTCCGGAAGTCCATTCTGGGCCTGGGCAACAAAAAATTAGCTACGGTTCTGCCAAAGTGGTGCAAACTAGCTGAATCCCACCACTGCCCAGAACCTATTGAAGTTGAAAGTTTTATTAAACCTAAATAACAACAACATAACTAGAAGATGTACTTGCACTGAAGGATGACTATCACTGAGCTTCTAAGGAGAATTGATGAATAGAGACAATCAAATTTAGGCATGATAATGTCCTCTCATTGAGATCAATGGGACTCACATAGAACACTCTTAAATTAAAATTAATTCTTGAATTTGCCCAGTATTCTTATCAGTTTGTTACCAGTAACACCTGTTTTTTTCTATTAGTCTACTCTAAAGCATCCTTACCCACATTATATTATTATTATTTTAACACTGAGAATATTTGTAATCTAGTGTACTTGATAATTAGACATCTAAGAATAATTAATTAGCACCTAAGAACTGTTATAAGTAATTTAAACAATGGTGAATAGACAGAAAATAGGTTGCAGTAACATTAAGAGAGGGAGGGAGGCAAATTTTGATATGCACATTGGGATATCGCAGTGGGAGCTCTGCCTTTCTTGTATTTTGCATCATGATATTGCACACAAGTATGAAAAAGGGCAAAATTTGTGTTCTGAGGTCACAATGCACACTTCATCATTTTGACAAAATCTTGGCTTGCTGTAGATACTTCTACTAGATATTTATCTCTATTAGGCAGGTTTTGGTTTTTCATAAGAATGTACTTGGGTAAACAAAACATCATGGTAACTGACTATTTGTTAGTTAAGTGCTCCCAGTAATCTCTTTAATCCCACCCAGCCATCTTTTTATTCTAGTTACATCAACCTTGCCAAGTTTTATCATGTTTCTGGTCCAACATTTGCTTGCATTACATATCCAAAATAAATAAGTTTCTACTTGCCTCTCTTAGTATAAAATATGCTAAAGTCAGCTTTTGGATTAGATCAAGACTGAGTGACTGGTTGTTCTTACATTTACAATATTCAAATCTATAATTCACAGGGATATTTCTTTTTTTTTTTCTTTGCTCTTCTCAGCATCTAGTATCCTAGCTATTTCTTAATGCTGGAGCAGCATTATTTCAACTGCTCTGAACTTAGTTCTAGTTGAAAGGCCCTTATTCTGTATGATCTCCTCAAAGTTTGCTATTGCTTTTCTTGCTAGGATCTTTTTATTTCTCCAGTGTATTATCCATATTTATATGTTTTTGAGTCCCCAGAAAACAGAACTGTCTACCAGCTTCAAGGCTTCATTGTCAGTATGGGTTTCACTAAATATATTAATTAGCGTTGCTTTTATTTTCTTAATATTTAACATTAATCCAGGTGGTTCCCTTTTTAAGCAGTTCTTAGTTTTTATTACTTTCAACCAGTGGCATAGCGTGGGTTGTCAGCACCCGGGGCAAGGCACCCCCCCCTCCACAGTGGGCGGCGTCGGCGACCCGGCGGCTCGGATCGGATTCGCACAGCCAGCACTGCAGAGAGAGTGAGTGAGCCAGGCAGGGGCAGAGAGCTGCGAGTGCGAGCGTGCCCCCCCAGATGTTGCGCCCGGTGCGGCCGGCCCCCCCTGCACCCCCCACGCTACGCCTCTGCTTTCAACCAACATGATGCTGTCTGCATGGTTCAACTGCATAATGTTCACCTTCCAGTTTTGATTCCAGGTCTTATCTCTTCCATGTCTACCTTTCTTATGGATTGAAATGATATACAGGTAGTCCTCAACTTATGACCATAACTGAGCCCACAATTACAGTCATTACGTTGTGACAGTTGTTAAGCAGGTCTTCATGTGATTGTGCCTGATTTTACTGCCTATTTTGCAGCAGCCTTTAAGCAAATACAGCAGTCATAAAGTGAATGTGGCAGTCCTTAAGTGAACCCACTGTTCCCTATGAGTATTTTTTGCTAATAACCAGAAGTAAACTCTGGTTTCCAGCAAAAACGTAAATTGTGGTTCACATGACCATGGGACCATGGGACAATGAACTTAAATAGCTTTGTGCTTTGCGCAGGATTTTCAGAGTCTGCCTGACTTTCCTGCAACCACTTTGCCTCAGTAAAAGTTATTTTGATTCAACCATATGGATTCAAGCAGGGCTTTTTTTGTCATAGAACGCCCAGAACGGAATTCTGGCACCTTTTTTGGATGGAACCTTGTAGGGTAGGCAAGGCAGGTTGTATGACGTGTGTGAGTTCCAGCACCCTTTTTTTTTTTTTTTACAAAAAAATCACTGGTTTCAAGAGTCTTACTTCCTGAGGGACCAGCTGAGGTGGGTCCTTACATGCTGGCCAATTGCTAGGCCCAAAATATGGTCTTGTGACCACGGGGAGAGGGAAGCTATCAGAACTTCAAATGTAGGCTGTAAGTACTTTGCGGGGATCTGTCGTAATTTTGAAAAGTTGCTAAGCAACCAGTCATAAGTCAAGGACTATCTATAAGGATTGTATGTATCCTTGTCTCACTCATTTTCCTGTAATGGATCACTCTGTTTCTTAGAATTTCTTATAAAGAAGAATAAGAATTTCTTATAAAGGTATCTTGTTCTTTGTAAAGATTCCAAAGAGAGAATAATCAGATGTTCCAGCAAATTCATTAGCTTTAATATATTCTATATTCTCACATGATCCACACAGACAAAGGCCTTGCTGAGGTCAATGAAGCAAACACATTTTTTCTAGTTTTTTGTTTCCTCCATTATCCCTTTTAATATTAACTATCTGATTGTATCAGCAGTCTTCTCAAAAAAAAAATCACAATGAAGCCAAAATGACAACGCTTTCACAATGAATCATCGTACAAATGCTGCCACTGTGTATTTGTCTCTTGATATTTGACACTAGTACATGTTGTGCTATTTGCATGATGATGTTATCATAAACTTTGCCATTTACATGCACTGCTGCCCTTGTGGACACCCTGGAGTTCATGTCCCTCTACCTTTTCTAAAATTTACCCATTTTATTTAGCATTTTTCTTTCTGTGGATTGCTCTAATCTCCTTTTAAGATCTTAAATAAAACATTGTGTGAGGAATTTGTGCAACACTTCAGTGAATACTTTCTTCTACAACCCTGTTTGTCAAGTGTCTCAGTATAATCTTTTCAACTTCTTTTAACCTCTATCAAAATTGTTCTTTGGTACCTATGCTAACCTAAACTATCTATGTTTGACCTATTTATCAGATCTTCTTTAAAGGGGTTTTTTTTTTGCATCTCTCTTTTTTTTATTAAAAGTTTTATAAAAATTACAATATGAATCCCCATACCCACCCCAAAAACCCCCCTCCCTCTTCCCCACTTCCCAGAGCTGAACACAGGGTTACAAATATAATAATCATAATCTAACTAACATTAACCAACTATTTAAATAACCAAGTCCATAAAGCGCTTTAACTCCCTTTTAACAAAAATTTAAACAAGTTAAAATTAAACACTATAATAAACAAATTAACAACCTAATTATTAAACAATACAATACTAATACTAAAAGTAATAATATCATATAATTAAACCTAAGAAAAAGTCCACTATAATAAACTATTAGTAATAATAAATCTAATATTCACTCATAAGCCAAATGGAACTTTTTAGTCCCATATTTATTCTGAATATAATCTATCCATCTTCTCCAAACCGAAGTGTATCTTTCTTGTGAATGATCCTTCAAATAAGCAGAAATCTTGGCCATTTCTGCTAAATTTGAAACTTTAAGCGTTCATTCTTCTATAGTAGGCAAGCAATCCTTCTTCCAATATTGCCCTACTAATAACCTTGCAGCTGTTATCAGATTCAACATCAAATTAATTTCTTTAGTATCACAATCTGTAATAACACCCAACAAAAATAATTGTGGGGTGAACTTTATCTTTTAATTCTAAACTTTAACTTTTAAAAAAATCTTCTGCTTGATGATATTATTGACTGAGATACCTGTCCCTGTCCTCTCTTTTTTGATGCTGAAATTCGTCATTTTATTTTTGTCATGTAACTTTTCCTAGGTATCATGAAAGCTAATATGAAAGACATTTGGATATTTTCCTCTGAAACATTTAGAATATA